TATATACTATATACTTTATACTATACGATACTATGTCTTTGGGAGGCGGAGCCGGTGCCGCCCCGATCTGGCGAATCGAAGTCTTGGAAGCAGACTGGGCCTGGTTCCCAGGGGGCCTTTGCGAGACCTCGCTCTTGCTGTGCTGCTAAGCCCCCTAAACCCTAAAAACCCTAAACCCTAAACCCTAAACCCTAAACCCTAAAACCCTAAACCCTAAAAGCCTCAACCCGAAACCTCGCTCTTGCTGTGCTGTGCCCGCAGTGTGTGGACTGCGGAAGGACACTGCGAATCGCAGTAACATCGTCTTGAGCTCTCTACTTAGCTTCCCGAGCTGGGGCTTGGGCGCAGACCTCAGAATTTCTTGGCGAGATGCGGACATGCGGAGGCACGAATGATGGCGACTTCTCTCCTGCACTGTTGCTGTCCTATGCCTTTGCAGTATCAATCTCTCCGGCCGTGGCCTTGCAAAGCTGTGCACAAGCTGATTGATGGAGCTGGCAGTCTTCGCGAAGGTGGCCGTGGCTCCGAATTCGGAGGCCTGAACATTCCCTGCAATGATGTGGTCGCTTCCGTCTTGCCAGGTTGTCCTGAGTGTCAGCATCGACCCCAGCGATGCGCAGATCACGCATGTGTTGCCGGCAGTGTTGGCACGGCTAATGCGTGACATCCGCCGGGTAGTCGGTCAGGACATGTCAGGACATCGTGGGTGGAGGGAGCGAGAGTCTGATATGGAGCCTGGAAATTTGGATTTGTTGACTCATCCTTACACAGTCAGCCGATGTCGAGATGCAATCGTGATACATCGCATGCTGCATACTTTATGGCTCCATACGGGCCGGGGGACCTGGAGAGTCCCCTACCAGAGAGAGAGGGAGACAGAACAAAACACCGACAGAACAGGACACGGCCACAGCCTTGGCAGTCTGATGGCCTACGGCCAGACAAAACCTGAAATCTCTAGTTCGATAAGCGAAACTGGGAACAGCAACCAGCACCAGAAATTTACCTTGTACATTGCGTAGTACTGCAACAAAGTATATTGTGTGATACCAGCAGTGGCGTCAGAGCCCACGGATTTTAAGGTAATTATAGCATACACATGGATCATGGACTAGTGTCATTTAGAATAAAGCATACTGTGTGATGCAACCAACGGTAACCAGCATATGTCAATTTTAGGGTTTGCACCGTGCGTGGACCAGCATGTATAACAAAGTCTTTTGTCTGATGGCAGGACCGGTGACCAGCACATATGACTTCAAGGGCTGAGCTTGTGCATCGACTAGTTGTGTCTAGAATCTAAAAAAGTATACTGTGTGATACCTGGTGACTAGGAACATCAGCCAAAGGTTTCGGCTGTAAAATTGCTCGAAGGTTTATAATAAGTGGCACACCAGCAACGATAACCAGCACCCAGAACCTTTAAGGTTTAGCTTAAAGCTTGATGCCACCAACGGTAATTGGCGCACCCCAATTTTAGGGCTTGGTTTGGATAGCGTGTGATGGCAGGACCGGTGACCAGCGCATGTGAATTAGGGTGTAGCCCATACATCGAGGAAACCCGCACTTACGAATTTTAGGCTTTAGCTTACACGTTGACTAGCATCGTTCACAAAAAAGCGTATAGATGCCACCAACTGTAACTAGCGCACAGCAAGTTCAGAGTTTGGCCTGTGCACTGACTAGCGCAGTGAAGTCTATCGTGCGATGGCAGGAACGGTGACCAGTCCATGTCAATTTAAGGTTTAACTTGTATATTGATTAGCTGTGTTTCTATTTCATCTGACCGGTGTGCTCTCTGTGATCCTATGCTGATGAAGAACATGTTTCGAGAAATTCCGCCTCGACTGACGAAAGAAATAGCTTCGTGTCCTGGAGGAGGCACCTTTGACGAAGGCTTTGGGATTTTTGAAGGGCACAGTCGACGACTCGGTTGCCAAAGCCTTCGAGAACCGGGTGGCTCGAGCTCGTCGTCGTGGAGATCCTGACCGTCCTAAGCGCAAGCCGAAAGGTTCCCACAAGAAAAATAGCAATCGCTGACTAAACAACCAGCAGGTGACTTTTGAAGACTTTACTCGGCAGCATACGTCTGTTGAGTGGAGTTTCTTCCTGATGTGAAGTGCTAGATCGATCGGTCAGTGATATGAGTGCTTATTATCAGGTGCATCTCAGGTGCTGCACTCCATGCTCGAGTGACTCTACGTATTCTGCAGTGCGAACTTGTCATCTTGTCCGAAGCTGTGTCATAGTTTATTCATCAGATGATTTGAGAAAGACGAGCCTCGACATACTATTTGATGGTGGTCACGATCTAGGCTTGGGAAAGCTGGGTCGCCGAGTGGAACTGAGCAACGACTAGTTGAGCCATGTCTGATCTTCTTCAAAGGAGCTGCAATGAGCTGGTTGGTGCTTATGCTTCTGTAGAGAAAGAGGTGGAAGAAAGGGTTTAGGGTGACTCTAGGGCTCCCTAAACCCTAAACCCTAAACCCTTGTGAAAGTGCCCTGTCTTTACGACCCCGAAATAGGCGACCGTATTGACCATCGCCAGGTAAGATCGCTAATTGCAGGTGCCTGTATAGGAGCCGCCTTCGCACTTGCATGTTTATGATCCAATGCTGTATGTAACTGATTGCAGACGTCTTGAGTTCCATTCGAAAAATCGGCTTACTTGTCCGCACGGTCAAGGTTTCAGGGCTTGGGGTTTAGGGTTAAGGGGGTTTAGGGTCTAGAAAGAGCTTCGGGCTTCAGGGTAATAAACTTTCGGGTGCCTTGAGGTTGACCATTAGCAGAAAGAAAGCAAACGAAATAGATCAGCCGTCGAAAAAAACCGCACTACAGAGACCCCCCCAGATTTTTGGCGTGGAATAGGCAAAACAACGCATTACAGAGGCATTACCTATCCACATATTTAGAAATTTGAAGTCACATTGCATCGGTGGTGGGTGTATAAAGCGTATTATGCCGTGTGCCCTTGACCAGTCGGCCTGCAGAGTGTGGCGTTTGAGTGCAAGTTAAGGTTGAGAGTTTGTTTTCAAAACATAATAGAGCAATATAGAATCACAGAGAAGTAGACGTTGTCGCTTCCCTTCAGCCCCAGGCAAGCTCGGTAGGCGAGATAATTTGTCGAAGGGGACGTAGCACCCGGCTGCTTTTCTTGACCGCTTACTCATATTTGATGCCAGGTAGATCTGTTGGCACCACGTGGAGTCATATTCCCGACGAATTGTTTGGCAGCCTCGGACTTAGCATGTCTCAGCAACTTCGGAATTCTGCTGTCTGTTTGCATACAGACGGGGGATGGCGTGGAACTGTTTTGTGCTCCAACACACGGATCGCTCGAGTGTCGCAAAAGTACGTAGCCGTGCAGTGTTGGAGGCGCCTAAATAGGAAGTCGAACGCTACATCACTCCATGAGCAAGATTCATTTCTTCAGGTTCTCCAAATTATCGAAGGAAGTTTGAACACCATTCCCTGTTGATTGTCAAGCCAACAAGAAACCGGGCCTTGCATCTCGCATGCCCTTAGAGGAACCAAGGGCACCATGCAATCGTCCCGGATGAGAATGTACTTCACGCATCAAGCTTCAGGGTTTCGTCCTGACGTCCTTTGAATTTGATTTGTGTGCGCAATCGTGTCCTCACAACCTCTGCATCCTCATACTGTTGGGTGCCCTGGATGGCATTGTGAGCTCACATCCTGTATGTCTTGAACTTCGGAAGAAAGCCTTTCGGCCGCTACACCACGCCAGAGAGTCCTAGAAGATGGATGCTTCTCACGGTCGACAGAGCGGAGATCCACTGCTGTTTCAAGGGTGTAAGCAGTACAGACGCAGCAAGAGCCCAAGGCATCCAGTCGCAGCGTCCTCAGCTGCTCTGCAGCGCAGTACGATGTCTGGCACTGAGGTTTGGCGCAGTGTTGAAAGGGTCTAGAGTTTAGCTGGCAGAAGTGCACTCTGTCCTCAGACTGAGTGGTCTAAAGGCCGAAAGAATGCAGCTGACGCTGACGATGACGGTAGCAGCCACTATCGAACGATCTGTCACGGATATTTCCATCAAGGCGCCGTCTCCTTAGCTTGCAATGTATTGCTTTGCCGTTTTGCACGATGTCGGTGCACCCAAGGCAGAACCCTGCAAGCACCGATCCCGACGAATGGACAGCCTGGCTGTTTGCGTTCGGCGGTGTCAACGGACCAGCTGCGTCCGTGCCTGCAGGAACCGGTGGCTTGCAATCGGGCGTTCTGGAGAAGTGGAGGAAGTTGCCTCAGCCGAGACTACAGGGAGTTTTAGACCACAAACGTTATCGCACACATCTGAAGGATCATACACGGAAGCGTTTGCCCTGCTTGGAAGGCTTGAATCCTTCGATGCCAACTAAGATGTATACATCCGGGACATAACAAAACGCACGCCTCCGAAATAGCTTTACCTTCACCGGCGATACCGTTGCCACCGGAAAGCTAATCTTCTCAAAATAAGGTTCATCCCCGAAAGCTCCGTCATTGAAGATTCGGCGATGGAAGTAATGAAAGATCTGTCAGTGAAGGAGTAAAGTAGCTCTCCTAGTGCATAAAGGCTCTCCCACACGGTCTCTTCTAGAACAGACGCATTGCAAGGTTATGTAATTTCCTGATGAATACAGACTCAGATCCATCAAGCAGTGAAAACGAGTTGATGCATCCGGATCTCTGCAGTAAGCTGGTGCTGCACATAAACAGGGCCGGCAGCAAATTGTGAAGAAAGCTTGGGAGCAGGCTCGTAGCATTTGGGAGGGACGTTCAAGCAAAGCAAAGTTTTCAGCAGAATGCAGCGTCCGACGCGTTCGTCGCGCTCCGCAGCTCCCATTTCATGTTCTCTCCCCAGGTGGGCTGGGCAGAGAGCGATTCAGACTACGGAGTCGCCTCGATGGCTTGGCACCCAAAGGGCAGAGCATTCCCAGATATGTGTGTATATATATATATATTGTATTATATCATATATTATATATTATATATTATATATTGTATATTGTATATTATAAATTATAAGTTATATATTATATATTATATATTATATATTATATATTATATATTATATATTATATATTATATATTGTATATTGAATAATATAAATTATAAATCATAAATTATATAATATATCTTATATCTTATATATTATATATTGTATATTATAATTTATATATTATATAT